TGGACTGTGACCTTATCTCTTTGGAATCGATTGTGTAAGTATTGATCAAAACCACTTTTGGAAGACGGAAGCAACAAAAGCAGCATTGAATGCTTCAGTGTTCTCTGTATAACCAGGCACTTGGTTTCCTTGTTTTGCTCTTCTAATGTAGACTGTAGAACTTCTTCATCTTGCTTTTTGCCCCAGGTCATTTTCTACTCGTTTTACATCTTAGCTTTTCTGATGTTATCTCTATCTGCTTGTGCTGTTCCTTTATGCTCAACCCTCGTTTCCACTCTTCTTTTTCATTTTCAGATAATTCAAGAGTTCTTGATGGAGCCTTTTTGATCTTTTACTGTGTTCCTTACCAGAATAGCTTGCCATTGTGCCTTTCAGTATCTTTTTCTTATAAGTATCTTTCCAAGATATCCTACATACCAATTTCCTAAGTTTTTTTTTTTTTTTTTTTTTTTTTTTAAGGACAAAAAAAAGAAAAACAACCTAGACTTTAACAAAAAGTCCATTATCCTTATTTTGTCCCCTTACTCATCCCTTTCTTTAGAATCATGAAGTTTAACATTTTATGATCACTTTCCTCCAAGTTACCTTCCACCTTCAGAACCTCAACTTGTTTCCACAAACTAGTCATTAAAAAATTCAAGACTGGCCATACATTTTTTAAGAGTATTTCTGCACTGATTATTATGTCTGCTCTTTATCCCTAACCTTCCAAATATCCACATTCAAAATCCACTTGCTTGACCATACCACAACGCTCAAGTCTGCCCCTGTGAGGTCACCTGAGCAATCAGATCTCAAGGTCAAAATTTCCCCTATCCTGTACCTCACTGTTGTGCACTCAGTATTCAATTGAGCTAAGAAAGATAGGAACACAGAAAAATTTCCCAGTTAAATACCACACCCTGTCCCCACTAGCCATAAGGAGAGCAAAGCACAGAAGGAGAGACAGATAGTGTGTAAGATTCCTAGAAGGGCTTTTGAGCTTTCTGTTCCTTCAGGGGCACCATTCCACAGTAATTGTCTCCTCTTTTGTTTCATGTGTGCAGAGGAGCAAGGTAATATAGGTAGGGAGAGGTGGCATTTGTAGCTCAGGGCAGTTGATTTTGCCCCCTTCCCTCCCTCCTCCCCCAACCCCAACAGACTTACCAGCTGGAGGCAGCTGTATTAGCTACCTATTTAGTCTATAGCCAAGTCTCCAAAGCGGCTGAATGTTTTCCAAAGCTTTCCAAAATCAATTCAGATGCTTCAAATCGATTTAGAGCTTTTAATTAGTCTCCCAGATTGATTCAGATTCAGCGATTCAGTCCCCAAATCAGGCCAAATCTCCTCTAAATTGAATTGGCTACCAAAGCTTGCACAGCCCTAATACATGGGTATGATTGGAGTGCTGCTTCTCTGGATAAGTGTACCTTTTAAGGCTTTAAAAGGAGAGAGCAAGCTGCCGTTCACAAGTGCCCATCAGCTTACATTGGCATGATCCGTAGCAATACAACTTAGCTAAATCACTGTAACTTGAATAAATGAAACCAAGTTAAAGCTGCCCTGTTTTGTGATACTTTATCACTATAGAATCATGCAGATATAATGGTTACCTCCTTTGATATTGATATACATATTAAGACTGCTTGTATCCTTAGGGTACTTCCTAAAATTAATTTGTACTTAACACACAAAGGATGAGAGATCAGCCCTTCTCAGCTCTGAAAAATTGTTTCATTATTAGATTATTAGACTTTACTATTAACTAGTTAATGTAGAGAGAGAGTCCCAGCTCATCAGTGACCAGGCAGTCTTTGACTTTGAGAACTGTACCCGTAGTAGAAGTATGTAAAAGACATATTTGGAGATCAATTTATAGATATGCATGGCATTACTCCACTGAAAAAGTACAAGGTCTGGATATTTATTTCAGTAGGATTTTTTTTGTTATTAATTAGTTTGACTCCTAGCATTCCTTTCCATAAATTTAGGTCACTGCTTAAGCATCACCACCAGCAGATGTATACAGACAAGCACTTAAAGTAGTAGTAACATACATTTTAAGCTTTGTAAATTTTTTAATCATTATGTAACACAATAAAATAAGGTTTTTGTTTAATTTGTCCTAGACAAGCAACAAACAATCTGAGAAAGCAGTTCGGAAATTACAGATCATGTATAGTAACATGTAGATCCTTGCTATGGATTTCTGAACTCAGATGAAAATGGAGGCATATCTCAATTTCTTGTTCTGTGACCTTGTTTTGCAGATGTGTTGCTCTTTGCAGCCTTGGCATTTGGATCTGTGAGGAGCTAGTTCATGAATCGCATCATCCTCAGATCAAGGAAGCACTGAATGTGATTTGTGCGTCTTTAAAGGTACGAAACAAATTATATGTTTCAGTATGCTACAACCTTTACAGTTTAATATAAAAATAAACCAGTTCAGTGGGGGCCAGTCTTTTTAGCAGGTGTGCCACAAATTAGCCCTGCCCTCTCCCCAAATGCCAATCTAATCTCCTTCCCCTGCCCGATCTGCTGGTCTGCTCTGTGCTCCCTGTCTTATCTGTTTTTCTGCTTTTTGCTCCCTGCCTGATCTGCTGGTCTGCTTCCTGCCCTAACTGCAGTTGTGCTGCCCCCAATCTGCTGCATGTCACACACACACAGGCTGCCTATGCCACTTGTGGCACATGTGCCATGGGTTGGCCACCTTTGAATTAGTTAATCACCTTAAATCTGAATTTGGCAAGTGTAAATGAGAATTTGTGCAACAGGGTAGTATGTCCCCTTATGGGAAAGCAGCTAGTGAAACTAAAGGGTTGCATCTGTGGAAGGTTAAGAAGGGTGTGGCTCACTGGGAAACAAAAGTCCCAGTAGGCAGAATTAGTAGGGGAGTGAAGGAGAAGCACCAGAGGCAGAGAATATCTGCTAGAAGAAATATGACAACCGTAGGAAAGGAAGCCTTAAGCCATAGTAGACCCATTTCAAGGGCCAAGATGACAAGGTTCCTTTGTTTGCTGGTATTTAACTGGGGCAGGCTGAGAGGCACTCCAGGCAATAGAGGCCAGAAAGGTGAAAGACTATAGTACTAAGGCTTGCTGGGAGATACTAGGAGGGACAAAGCTTGGTTGAAGGACCTTGTGGCGGCAACCTGCTACATGTGGGGGAGGCTGTGGACACTGTTGCTTTCAGCCAGCAGTGTGAACCCTAAGGCAGTATTGAAATGGAGGAGATGCAGCAACAGGCTTTACAACAACAGCAGCAGTTCCAGCAAAGGATGCAAAGTGAACAGAAGCGCTTCATGCAGCTCCTGCTGGAGCAGGTGAAACCCAGCCTGAAGTGGGTTGAGGTATCCCAGACCCCAGCGGCTGCAGAGAGGAGGCTTAGAAAAACGGGGCCAGATGTTGAGCCTGAAGCTTTTCCAGAGACATTTCAACAGGTGGCTGAGGCATATCACTAGCCTCATGATCTCTGGGCTGTTAAGTTAGATCCCTACCTAACTAGGGAGGCTCAGGCTGCTTATCTGGGCCTGGTAGCCAAGGCCACATACACCTATGGCACCCTGAAGTTGCCCATTTTGGACTGGGTGGAGCTCATAGCAGAGGCATACAGGCAGCAATTCCAAGCAGAACCATTTGATGTCAACTCTCCGCCGTGGGCAGTGGATTTGTACAACCAGTGGTTGAAACCAGAGACTAACTCAGCTTAGATAATGGTGGAACTGGTGACATTAGAACAATTTTGGCAAATCCTGTTGGTGGGGGTCTAGGAGCAGGTCTATAGACACTGTATTATGGACCTAAAAGAGGCAATATGCCTTGATAAGGATTTTTTAGAGGCTGAACTGGAATGTGGAATACTGTAGCTGGGCAAAAGGAGCAGTCCCACCAGACTATAAACCTCAAATGAGGAAAGGCAGGAATTGTACATTAGCCCTGGAAGGGAGACCAGACACCTGGACCTGTAGCATAGCCTTGCTCCACAAGATGGCAGGGGTGAACTCAGCAAGCTTGGGCCATGGAACTAGAGGCAAGAGAGGTTTACCACCAGGAGGCAGTAGTAGATCAGAGGCCAGGGGAGCCCTCTGTCCGTTTTTCATGTGGAGAGCCTAGGCAGTGGTGGAGAGATTGCCTTCTCATGGATTATAGTTATGTTTATTCTGTGTTCTCTGAAGTCCCAGGAGAACATACAAATAGAAGATGTCCAAGTTTTGGGTCTCATGGACTCAGGCTCAGCCCAAACCTTTGTGCTAAAACAGTTGGTGGATTCTGCCCAGTGTTGAGTTCCTGAATGCATCTATGTGACCTGTATACATGGGGATATCTGGCCTTATCCTATCACCCAGGTGCAGTTTATGATGGAGGCTCAGAAAGCCAAGTTGACAGCAGCATGGCCCACCATCTTTCCCACCCAGTGGTAGTATGTCAGGACTGGGACCCACCAGGCTGCTGTGCGTAGTGGCAAAGAGTAGATTGGATCAGGAACCACAAGCCCCTCTCCGGGACAAACTCAGGGACATATTCCCCTTTGATCCCGGAATCTTGGGGCCCTGACCCCTCCCATACCAAGAATGTTGGAGGATACGGAGGGAAGGCTTTGCAGCAGAAAAGGGGCCGGGTAGGAGGCCCAGAAAGGGAGTCGGGATCCAGCGTAAGCTCAGTGGACCTGAGGAAAATGTTGAGGATGCAGGCTCCTCTGGAAAGAACCCCCCCTGATTAGAAGGGAGTGCTCATCAGATGAGGGAACTGACATTTTTCGGAACCAGAGACAAGACTCAGTATTTGCTCATATCTACAGGCAGCTGGTCAGAGTGAATGGGAATGTAGAGGGGCTTATGTTTTTCCTGACATTTTTCCTGCAGCCAATGAGCTGTGAAGGTCATGTCAGTTGTGCCTTTTGATGCCCTAAATTTTAGGGATCTAGCCCATGGAGGGGCTTTGTCTGGCCCGTGGCAGGTCCCTCAGTCCCACCTGGCCCAGGCACTGCCCACCCATGGCACATTCTACCACCCCCTGGACATGCAGCAGGCCTGGGGTAGCTCTGTGGCTGGGTTCCCTTTCTAGGCAGCCCAAGTGGCGGTGGCTCCTGGCTGCCACCACCACTAGCTCCAGCCCCATGATACCAGCAGCGACCCGTGTGCTCAGCCTGATCCGGTCCACCTTGCATCTGCTCCAGACTCACCCGCCCAACAGAAGCGACTGCTGGGCAGAAACTGTTCCTCAGCATAGGGGAAAAGCAGCCCTTCCCCCTTGCCGTTTCCGGGTCCTTCCTGCTGCAGCTACTGGGAGCCCACACCAGGCTGCCCTGCATCTCCACCACCATCACTGCTGCCTCCAGTCTGCCCAGCCAGACAGCAGTGGCAGTGTAGAGTAGATGCAGGGCAGCCTTGTATGGGCTCTGGGAAGCTGCAGCAGGAAGGGCCTGGCAGTGGCCGGTGGGAGGGTCTGCTTTTCCCCCATGCTAAGGAAGAGTTTGTGCCTGGCAGCTGCCACTGCTGCTACTGCTCAGCCTGAGCCAGGTGAATCTGGAGCAGAGGCGGGGGGGGGCGGGGGGGGGGGGGGGGCAGCCTGCCAGTACCATGGGGCTGGGGCCACTGCCAGCAGCAGCCAGAAGGAGCCACCGCCTGGGCTGCCTAGGAAGGCAGCCCAGCTGTGGAACCACCCAGCCCCACTGTATTCCCAGGGGGCAGCAGGACACACCCCTGGTGGGCAGTGCAAAGTAGGCACAGAGTGGGTTGGGGTTAGGGCTGTACACATGGGTTCTAGCTAGTTGGCTTTTGCTAGGATGAGTCTGCAGCAGGCATGGGGCAGGCTGCAAATGACAGGGAGGCACCCCAAGGCGCTCCATCTCCTGGCTGTTGCCGTGTGGGTGCTTGTCTCCCTCAAGGGGCGCATGCACACTTTACCATACCCACAAACTCTCCCCTGCAAACCCCACAGCCACACCCCCACACACAACCATACAGCCCACAAACACTGCACTACCCACACCCTCCCCTACATTCTGCCACAAACCCCCCACCCCTCCCCACATGCGTGCGTGTGTGTGTGTGTGTGTGTGTGTGCGCGCGCGCACACACACACACACGTGCCTCCGAGGGGAGCCCCGCTCACTACTACATGCACACATCCCATCCCACATACACTCATACCCCCCAACGCACACTCCACATATACCCCTAGCCAGCCTTCCGCTCCACACACCCCACAGCCCTCCGCAAACCCCATACCCACCCAAACACATCCCCTGACAAATCCCTCAATCCCACCCACATTCACACGTACCCCATACCCTCCCCCAAACTCTATATACATATCCACACACATCTACAGCCTCCCACAAACCCCATACCTACCCATATCCCCCCCACCTCTCCACACTCCCTTGCAATATAAAAGAGTAAGACTTCATTTTGAGCTATTATGCAATCACCTCTATATACACAACGTAAATGCACACAAATCAAGACAAAAATATTTTTTTAAGTAAAATTAAAAGATGTTATTATGGAGTTAGGATGGCTGATAAGAATCCTTTATGCGGAGATTATTAACATGGGTAAATGAGAGAAACAAGTTTTGTTTCATATCTTATTGGACCAGCTGTATAGCTAGGAGAGATGTTAGACAAATTTTGGGGCACAAAATGTCCCAGCAAAAGTTTGGGAAAATAGATACAGCCTTAGCTGATTGCCAAGTAGAACAATACCTTCTTTTTTTTTTTTTTTAACTCCAGTATGTAAATTAAACAATCATTCAAAGAAGGGGAAGAGGGCAATAAACCTGTGAAACAACGAAGTTGTTAGAAGTAGCTTCAAATCAAGTAAAGGGCAACTGCAAAAAAAACCTCTCCCAAGTATACAGTTAGTCCAATAAAAGATACAGGTCAGTCGCATCTTATGCGGGGGTTAGGTGCTGAAGTCAGTGCGTAAAGCAAAAATCGCGTAATGCGAAAATCGTTGACTATACGCGGGGTGGAAGGGGGGGCAGGGCTTGAGTTTGCACGCGGCGCCGTGCTTAGAGCTGTGCGGCCAGCGGCACAGCGCGGGGTGCTGGTGGGGATGGCTGCGTGCCACCCGGCCACCACCACACTGCCGCTGCCGCCCGGTGGCCAGCCACACGGCTCCGGGCACGGCTCCATGGCGACAGCAGGAGGTTTTGGAGGCAGTGGCCGTCATTGCCATAATGGGCCTGCAGGTAAGCGGCAGTGCTGCGTGCAAGCTCAAGTCCCGCCCCCACCTCCCCCACCCTGCGTATAGTTGAATTCACGCAAGTTAAATGTGCGTATGTTGCAACTGACCTGTATTACCAAAAAACCTTGCTGCTTGCATATTAATTGGACCATTGTGGCTATAACTCCAATGTAACTTGACTTAAATG